ATATATATATATATATATAACTTTTAAATGTTTGATGGATAATGTTGAATTCATGAACACCTGAGATAATAGATATATAACTTTTAAATGTTTGATGGATAATGTTGAATTCATGAACACCTGAGATAATAGATATATAACTTTTAAATGTTTGATGGATAATGTTGAATTCATGAACACCTAAGATAATAGATTTCAAACTAAGTAGGCTAAATGTAAACCACCTTGATTTGATTAGACTAAACTGTTTCTCCATTTGGCCTAACTATACACCAAATATTTTTGAAAAACCGATGACCTGATCATTACATTCTAGTATCATCAGTGAATGGGAAATTGATCAATAAATCAACCCCTCAATCAGGTCCATCCATTAGTCAAGAGCATGTCGATAACCATCATAATTTGTTTTGTGTGTGCTCTTAAGAAGATTAAATGTTCTCTTAATTGTCGCGCTTCTTGCACTTTATCTTTATTAATATACTCGATGTTTATCATTCCTATAAGCTATGATTATGTTTTTAATCTAATTGAGTGCATCTAAGTTATATTTGATGCTTGTGTCATTTGTCCGATTGCTACATCAAATTATTGCCACAATTGTTAACTCGTTGTTGTCAAATCTTGCATGTCATTACTTGACTATCATCTCTTAATTATAATAGTAAAATTGTTATCATCCACTTACCACTATCCCCTTCTACTAGTTATTCAACAATCACTATTAGTGTTTTAGTTTTAAAGTCTCATTTTCTTCAATAAGGAGAATGTTGAGTTTTAAAGGAAGTAGACATCAATATCGCTTCTCTTTCGAAAAATTTCACTATAAAATTTTGTGTATTTGTTTTGGAAATATGTGTGTTAATACAAAGTTAAGACAATATTTTCTCTCTACTATAGTGAATCTTTTAACTTGCAATAAATATCATGCTTCAAAGTTGATGTTCTGAGATGAATAATCAATGTGACAGTGCTCAAATGCTCTCATGGTGTTAGTCTCAATTGTTCATCATGCTTACAAAAATAAAAGAATAATAAAAAAGAATTAGAGAAAAATTTAATTCATTAACCATATTATATGACACATGCGAATGAGATAGTGGCCCGACAGCTGGGCATTTCTACCCGCACTGAAATGTCTCATGTTTTAAAGTTACCAACGACAACAACAACAACAACAACAAGCCTTTATCCCACTATGTGGTGTTGGCTATATAAATCTTTTTTTCTCCATTGTGTCCAATTAAGTGTGATGTTATTATTTAATTTTAATAAATTAAGATCATTTTTTTATACAGTATGCCCAAGTCTTTTTAGGTCTACCTCTTTTTTTCTTAATATAATTGGAGTCTAAAACATCCAATCTCTTAACATAATCATCAGATGGTCAACGTTTAATGTGACCAAACCATCTAAGACAAATCAATCTAACCTTGACTGCCATTGGAGCTACGCCAACCTCAAATATATTCATTCACTTTTTGTCTCTAAGTCTCAAGCCACTCATCCACTTAAGCAATCTCATCTCCACAACACTTAACTTTGTTTTATGCTTCTCTTTTAAAGGCTAACATTCTACACCATAGAGCATTGTCGGGCGCAACACCATCTTATAAAATTATTATTTTAGTTTAAGCGTTACTTTTTATCATACAATAGTCTCGATGCATTCCTCCACTTCAAACAACCTAACTTGAAATATTCTAATAACATCCCCATCTATATCATCATCAATTTTGAACAATAGAACCGAGATACTAACCGAGATACTAAAAACAATCACACATTTTAATGATTTGATCACCCATAATTAAAACTGTCATTATAGCTACCGCCACTATAGCTACCACTACTACTAAAGTTATATTCTATGTATTTAGTTTTAGATCTACTCAAACAAAGACCTTCAGGCTCCAATGTAAAACTCTATAATTCAAAATTTTCTTGACCACTTTCTCCAGTGTTATCTATAAGAAGGATATCATTAGCGAAAAACATACACCAATCTACATCCTCCCGTAAAATGTCCATTAAAAGCAGTCATAACTGAAGCAAAAAGATATGGGCTTAAATCAGATCCAATCCCCGATGTAATCTAACTGAAATAGGAAAATACTTAGACAATCATCATCTTGCTCAAACACAAGTAACAAGTCTATTATACATATCATTAATGATTTGAATATAAGTAATATCAACACTTTCTTCTTTCTCTAGAACTCTCCAAAATACTTCTCTTAGAACCTTATCATAAGCTTACCACCCAAAGAATCTATTATTTTCTTACAACCAACTTTATGTTCAATGATTGATATATATATATATATATATATATAG